GTACACACGCACACAGTAGCAAGCTACAAGAGTCAGGTATACCTATCCTACAAGTGCTGGAGTCTGTCGTTGAGTCTTTCAGTGTAGTGTTATCTTCCAGAAGGGGGTCGCTGGCTGGTCCTTCTGGCTGGACAGGTCAGGTGCTGGTCAAGTTGGAGATCAAGAGGGAGCTGCTGAGGGTCACTTTTCACTGCTTTTTATCTGTCCTTGGCAGACTTTGGTGACTCCCCAGTTTTCAGGTTTGCCCAATCCAGGGGTCATTGACCCACGTGGGACTTCCCCCCTCGGTGGCTACTGGATGGCATCTGTCAGCCCTAGGGGTTGTCTGCATGTACACACAGGTTTGGGAGTCCGTTGATTAATTTTGAATAGGGCTCTGGGAGCGGTCAATTGAGAGATATTCAGCCCAAAAGTTGGTCCCCGGCATTGAATCTCTCAGGCCAGGGCTTCTAGCCCTTGATCAGTGACATTTAGAGATTTCCCGGTTGTTACACTGTCTTCTATTGAGTTCTTCCCTTGGTTGATTTGCAGTTTCCTTAGGTGTTAATTGCTGCCTGCTACCATGTTACACATTCAATCACTGATTCACTGGCTCTTTCAGGGGGCTGCCTGATACAGGGAAGGGCAGTTTGATTCCTGCCCTTGTTAACATTGTTACAATGTATAACTTACTTATGAAACTAAACACATCTAGTTGAAAGGTGAGGAGTATAAAATATAAGCTACAAAAGTAATGCCATGGCACACAAATAGATAAAAATACCAAAATACAAGGGGAGATACAAAATGTGCACACACAAATTTCAAAACACAATTCCTTATCTTAAAGTGAAAGAAAGAGGAAAAGCATATCCAAGGAGGGGAGAGCAGCTGCAGGCAAGAGGAAAAGGGGCTTTCTGCTACAAGTTCTAATTCCTTTTGCCTCTAGATCAATACGGCTACCGCCTGGATACCTGATTTATTTATATGTCATTTGTGGAAGAGGCAACTGACACAAGGGAGGTAGAAATTACACATTGCTGAGCTAAAAATAAAACTACAAATGCTATAAAGTCCTATAGTCAATAAGGATGCAAACTAATTAGCCCTGCAGTAAACATTTTATGTTCTAATTCCTTTTGCCTCTAGATCAATACGGCTACCGCCTGGATACCTGATTTATTTATATGTCATTTGTGGAAGAGGCAACTGACACAAGGGAGGTAGAAATTACACATTGCTGAGCTAAAAATAAAACTACAAATGCTATAAAGTCCTATAGTCAATAAGGATGCAAACTAATTAGCCCTGCAGTAAACATTTTATGTAGATGCTTGCATGAGATATTTACTAGGCCTGTACGAAGCAGCTGGTATTCGCTGTGGATTCAGATTTGGCCGATTTGAGGGACAGTGATTCGATTCGGTGATTTGAATTACTGTCCCAAAAGAATTTGGAGATACTGAATTGGCCCAATCTCTGAATCGGCCCCATCCCCTGCCCACTCTCCCAGCTCCGTCAATGGCTGCCCTGCCTGGCCCCAGCTCCTGGCTCTTTTTAAAAAAACAAAAACAAAACAAAAAAAAAAACACGCCCCTACTCACCAATTGCTGCCAGGTGGGAAGGCAATCCCCACTGCCCCCATGTCCCCACACTGCACTGGGGGCTCTGTCACAAGTCCCCATTCCCTGCCCACTCTCACAGCCCCAGCTCCTGGCTGTTTAAAAAATAACAAAAAAACAAAAGTCCCGACTCACCAGCTGCTGCCAGGTGGGGTGGGGACAATCCCTACTGCCCCACACTGCATAGGGGGCTCTTCCATGAGCTCCCAGAAGCCCTGACGGCCACTGTAGCAGCCAGTGGGTGCGGGGCTTTTTTTGAAGAGCTGGGGCTGGGCAGGGCAGCCATGAGGGGAGCTGAGAGAACAGGCGGGGGTCAGGGGCCTTGTGGCAGAGCCCCCCATGCAGAGCGGGGCAGTGGGGGCAGCAGAGATCACCCTCCTGCCTGGCAGGAGCCAGGAAATAGGGGCTTTTTTTTAAAGGGCCAGGAGCTGGGGCCAGACAGGGCAGCCATGTGGGTAGGGCGGGGAGGCTGGGAGAGCAATCAGGAGGCGCTCAGGGGGGCTGGGGGAGCAGGCAGGGGATGGGGCCTGGCAGGGGTCCCCCCATGGTCCCCTCCCCCTTTTTCCAGCCCCCCCCTCCCCCGCCCCCTCCCCTTACTTACCAGCATGGAGTCCAGGTCCAGCTCCAGCTCCTTGCTGCAGCGAGCCTCTGGGGACTGCCCGAATCTCTCAAGTTCTTGGAATCTTTTCCGAATTGATTCAGACCTTTATATTGGTCTCCTGATTTGATTAGCATTCAGAGATTTGGCCACTGAATTGGGCCGTATCTCCTCCAGATCGAATCAGCACCTGAAGCTTCACACAGCCCTAATGTTTACTGCAGAGCTGACTAATTAGCTCTACAGTAAATGTCTCAGCGTCTATACCTGCACCCCTATGAGGACTGAGGAAACTAATAAACTCCACAGCAAGGTAGTACATGTCAATTTTTTGTGCATAGCAGCCCATGTGTAGACACTGACATGGCTGGCTGGAGCATGAGGGTGCTTCATTGCAGCAAGTAATATGTCGTTTATAAGAATCAAGATCACATAGAGAACTGATGTCAGCTGCCGGCTCCTCTGCAGTACATTGATTCTAGTCAGAGCAGCCCTGGGCTGGCAAGCTGACCCCCAGGTCTCTCTGCCATGTAGATATACCTACTATGTAATAATGCGCCAAGCAGTACATTCTTTCAGAAGAGGACACCATGGCAGGGGGAGTGGCAATATAGATACATTAGCAGTTACAGTCAAATTGGAGTTAGAATCATAGAAATTTAGGGTTGGAAGGGACCTTGGGAAGTCATCTAATCCAACCCCCTGCTCAAAGCTGGACCATAGCCAACTAGATCATTCCAGCCCGAACTTTGTTGAGCCAGGCCTTAAAAACCTCCAAGGGTGGAGATTCCACCACCTCTCTGGGTAGCCCATTCCAGTGCTTCACCACCCTCCTAGTGTGAAAGTTTTTCCTAATATCTAATCTAAACCTTCCTTGCTGCAATTTGAGACCATTGCTCCTTGTTCTGTCATCTGTCACTACTGAAAACAGTCTAGATCCATCTTCTTTGGAACCACCCTTCAGGTAGTTAAAAGCTGTTATCAAATCCCCCCTCAGTCTTCTCCCTCAGCCTCTCCTCGTAAGTCACGTGCCCCAGTCCCCTATTTTCACTGCCCTCCTCTGGACTCTCCAACTCGTTCGCATCCTTTCTGTAGTGGGGCCTAGTAGTGATAGGGTTCTGTAGTGGTAGAGTTCTGATCTCTCGAGTGGATGAACAAATGTCTCTGATAAACCCTTTAACAGGGAACAAATAATGATCAGTGAGCTGATTTAGTTTAGGGTTTATCTTTATTAAACTGAATCCCTTTTTCTCTGAGGAAGAAGGATTGGAGGAAGGAGCTGTTCTCTAGCCTTATGTCCCAGCCATTAAAAACATGCTGCACTTATAAAGTATTTTGTTGTTTAAGAGAAATGAACTGATCAGCTACAACTTAAAACATATAAACAATACTTACACTTCAACTTAGGTGACATATCCCTTCAGAGTGATAGGATTTATAACAACTTTGGGTTCTTGACTTGCTTTTTGTAACACCAGTACATTAGTATCTTCACTTAAATGTAGAACACACAGAGTACTACAGCTACCAGCCTTTTTGAGCTAACTGCTATTCAATTATTAGCATAAATGAATTAATGAGTTAATGATTATTAGCATAAAGGAGTGTGTTTGCTTCTGTACTAGAAACTCACACTCTAAATAACTGTAATTCATAGATCTTCTTTGGTTGTTTATTAATATAATTCTTGTTCTTTTTTTTTTTTTTTCTGGTTCCATTGTTAAATGCTATTTGATCTCCCCTTACTCAGATCCTTTAAACTGCTCCATGTGAGCTGAGCAAGTAGTAAGCAGCATTACCTGAGTCCTTTTTAATTAAATTCAGGACATCTGAATAATAATTTTCTGCATCTCTTAGAGCAAATAACTTGAAATAGATGGTACTTCCAAACTTTGAACAAAACTCAGTGCTACAGAATTTATGATTTATTTACAGTCTTCCATGAAAATGGGTTCTACATATTGCACTTATATTACAGGCTTTGTGTTATTTGTGTGAGCAGTTCTAAGTCTATGCACTATCCCTACAAAATAACTATCTTAATTTAGGAAAATATAAACACTTGCCCTTGATGCCTAGCTACTGAAGAAAACCTTTGAGCATCCAAGTTAGTTCTACCCTGCCATTGGCAAAAAAAAAATGTTGACAGCATGTCAACTGCTGTCATTTTGGATGCTATAAAATCATTTAGCTTTAGAGATAAATTTCTAGCTCTCATTCAGTCAATACTTAATCTTTGTTTTGGTCACTCAATTCAAGGCCAATTTGATCCAAGTAAGAGACTCCAGTCTGTCTCTACACATCTGGGCAAATTGAACAAAATTGTATTAAATAAGAACACGTGGTTCCTTCTTCCTTATCTGTAGTTCTTTCAGTCCATCTTACAGGAACAAAATATGGCTGTGGGACAGGTGGCTGTGGAGCTTGCACTGTGATGATATCAACATACGAGCCATTTTCCAAGAAGATACGGTATCCTTTATACATTTAAAACAAATTATAAATTGATGTAATTAAATCAAGATTTTTAACCTTGTAAAGGAAAGCAGTTCTTATAACAATGAGCTATGCTCATATTCATGTTTGGTGACATTCCCTAAAATCCTTGATTAGACATTGCTGATATAGGTCTAAATGACTATTGTGTTGACTGTATTTTATGCTGACATGTAGAATTTTTAAATAAAAATATTTAAAAATACATCAAATTGTTGGGAATCTACAGTGTAATTTTTGTATGGACACTGTATCGTAACAAGCTTTGTCATAGAAAACTGTCACCCATCCTATATTTATGTCTCTGCTTCTCCTTTACATTCTCAAGACATTGTTCTGCCAATGCTTGCCTGATTCCCATCTGTTGTCTGTATGGTGCTGCCGTTACCACTGTGGAAGGTATTGGAAGCGTAAAATCAAGAATTCACCCGGTTCAGGTAAGTATGTATCTTGCTGTGCCCTGGCACACATTCATTTCATGACATGATGGGATCTGATCCCTGATCCCAGCAATCGTGCTTCCTGTCATTCCACTTATGCATGGCAGGAGGCATAATTTTGGGACTGGGGATCAGATCCCTATTCCACTGCTACTATTTGCCAGTGCAGGGGGAGCCTGGGATTATTATCTTGGGCTCCCCTTACTCTCTCTGACAAGTTCAAAGCTGGGTGCCACAGCCTCAGTAAACAGTCCTGATTTGAGATTTAGGACATTCTTGGGGCCCTCAGGGCAGACAATCACCTGATTATTGGCCCTGCTCAAACAGCCGTTGGTTCAAGACCCATTGTGTATGGTAGAACAGCTCTCATGTTTTACTTTCAGAGGTTTCTGGGTGAAGCATGTCCTGTTTGTGTGTGTGTAGTCTACAATCAAGCCTGAAGTCAGTGTTCATCACCAATACACCCCACTTTATCTCTGGTGTTTTAGAATGCTTCCAAGCATGCTGCTTTTGAAGTGTTTTCTTGTAAAGAATAAGACTGCATTTGGCGCTTTGTGTATTAATGAGTAGGCTATGTTCTCAGTAACTGTGTCAAAACATAAGTAAGATTGCTTCTAAAAGTACCCCACAAAAAATTCAGTATTGCTACACTGTGAAACCTGTCTATCTTACCTTGTTTTAGGAAAGGATTGCCAAATGCCATGGCTCTCAGTGTGGTTTCTGCACCCCTGGAATGGTGATGTCCATATATGCATTACTGAGAAATCACCCTGAACCCACTATGGAGCAGATATCTGAAGCACTGGCTGGTAAGTTCTTATTAAAGTAACATGTCACAGCAAGCATTACAATGTGAATTTAAAAGATTAATAGTTTATTTAATACAGTAGACGCTAGTCATGTCGAAGAAAATGTAAAGAAAGTCACATAGGAAGAGGGCTAAGTGCCGACAGCAGGAGGTAGAATCTAGATGCACTGCTGAGCAGAGTTAGAGGAAAGCCTTCTGATTAAAATGATAATCCAAATGATCAGTAAAAGGTCAACATATTAATTAAGCTTATATTGTGATTGTTCCAGAGGGACCTTAAAATGCCTATACTCTCACCTATTCCTAGATGTTTCCTTAGAGGACCAGTGTGTAAACACTGGTTGGAAGGGACTTCTCTGGATTTTCAAATTCATCAGTTACCAGGTGGTTGCAGTTTCTTCTCACTAGGAAGCCCTGCTGCTCTCTTTCTCTTTCTTTTTGGGATGGTTCATAGTTCTTGGGACTTCTAAGCTTTAAAAGAGAGTCCCCTCTCTATCAAGACAGACATATCTTTTATGGCTGCTTCCTTCCTTATCTCCTGTTCCCCCTCCTGATTATTCTGTTCAGATGGAGGACCTTTTCACAGCTTGATGTATCTGACAAATGTTGTAGGGCAGACACAACAGGAGTTCCTGACTTCAGATCCAACTATTGATGACCCAGTGGAAGAGGGGGGGGAAGGAGGGGGGGTTTATACACTCTATTGAAGCTTTGAACACACTGTAAAGCCACAACTTCTGTGCTTTGGATTTTGTTAAATTTTTATGCATCCCATTATTTTAATATGGAAAATATATTAATTGGACTCTCGTAATTGTTTGTTCTTATATCAGGAAATTTATGCCGTTGCACTGGCTACAGGCCAATAATTGATGCGTGTAAGACTTTTTGTAAAGTAAGTAGAAGTAAGTTCAGTGGATTTGTTCTTAATCGCATAACTATGTTTCTATGAACCTTTATTTTGGATATGCTATATGTTGCCCTTTATTTTCATATGACAAACTTTAAATATTAGTAACATTTCTTGTATTGTCAGTAGTGGATGGTCAATCTCACCCACTACGGTCCATATTTCAATATAGCATAAGTTACAACTCCCAGGCTTTATAATCTTTAAAACATTTACCTTTTTCCAGTCTTACTCTCTACTTGAAGCTGACTTTTTTGATAACTAAATATGAGTTTTTGTGTAACTGATGCTAATATATTGATTGTTAAAATATATAGTGTGTGAAATTTGTCAGTGTTAGCTTTGGAAGTCCCTCACTTTGAGAAATTGGTATTTAACTATGTCTTTGCATGTGAAATATTAAATAGTGGGAGTTCTTTTATACACTTAGGTTAGAGGAAAATAGGACACTAGCTGAAAGCATGAATACTTGCTGATTCATTTAACGTTTGTTAGCAGAAGTGTCATGCAGTATTAAATGGAAGCGAATTGTTAATTACTTCTTTAGGACTTGGACTGCTGTAAAATTAGAGAGAATGAAAACTGTTGCTTGGACCTAAAAGAGAACCTACTGCTTTCTGGGAAGGGTAAAGAAGTATGTCATATTTGTTCTATTTGTCTTCAATTCTATTTTTACGTTTATACTACATGAATTATTAATTGTTCTTTTTTTGTAAAGTGTAAAGAAGTAGGAATCTCGGAGAAGCAACTGCAATGAATCCAAAATTGCCATGTAATGTGAGACACTGTATAACAGCTTAGTTGAACAACCAAAAAGGTGCGCTAGTGCAGAATCTGCCTAAGCCTAGGGCTCTGCACTAGTGGATTTGTTTACAAATTCAGGACCTTATTGAGAAAACATGCCAAAAGAAATCCTGAAGATTTACCATATATCATTTAGAATTTCATAAAGGAGAAGGAGAAAAAAACTCTCTTAGAATGCGGTTTAAAGTAGGTAGATCAAAATAAATAATTTCTCAAGAGTGTACACATGGGTTTATTCAGTGGCCCCACCAATATATTTATAATTGCCAGTTTCAAATAATAAATCTGACTGTAGCATTTTCTGTGGTTACCCTATACTTAATATGGGTATATCATAATGATAATTAGGGAGAAGATAAGATTTTCATGGTGATCACTGCATCACGGAACTTAAAAATATATTTTTTAAAGATACTAAGGATTGACAAGAATTGTGAGCACCTTTTTTAAAGTATTGTAAGATAAAGCTTTGTGTTTTATGGGGGGTTTTGTTTTGACTTTCCACAATTTTACAAATTTAACAATCTGTTTCTTTGTGCCAATAATGTTAAAAGGCAACAGGAGGATTCCACTAAATATTACTGAGGATCTCCTCCCTTTACTTGCATCTGCTTAATGCCACTGTTGTACTTAGCTGTAAATTTTCTTACACCTGAAACGGTGGATCTTCCATACTTTTAGCAGCCTTATTATTTCCACATATCTACCTGAAAAGAATGTCTGTCTTCTGACAAAAAGCAAAATCACGACTTGGGAGATTTTTTTAGAAACATTTTTTTCTGAAATGACCAAAACCCACATGTTGACTCAATATTGTGTAACAGATAATGCCTGCAATAATTTCATGGGCCGCTTCCATAGATGATGTAGTTGCATCTTTGTTATTTATGGAAAATTTCATCCGACTACATAGGGGCCATAAAAGTTTAACTGTATCACATACTTCCTATTAAAAGGTAACCATTAGTTTAAAAAAAAACCCTGTTTTTTACTGACTAGTGTTGTTTATACAAGCAGTATGCAAAACAACAGAAAAGAAAATATTTTTCTTTATTTTTTCATTTGCTTTGTGTATTTACTTATTTTAACCTCTACATGATTTTTACAAATATTTATCTGGAACTTTGTTCTTTCACAATATTTAAACTGCAAAGTTTATCAAACCATAAATCCAGCTATATTTTCTTTCCCTCCATAGCTTTCTGAGCTGCTTTGACTTCACTTTTTGTTTAATCAATTTGACTATTTTCCATGTGCAGTCAATTGCCTCACAATTGTGTAATCAAGCCCTTGTGCTCATGAAAAGCCCTTTAGAGTTAATGTGATATCTACCTGAAGATTTGATTGCAATGGTCGGGTCTTTAAATCCCTTATTGCTTGTATGGAGAGAGAGAACAACATTTTTAAAAAATATGCATTTTAAACCACAACAATCTCACAGAGACCCAGAGACTCAAGTGCAGTTCATGGTACTGGCAATTAGTTGTAACTTTTCTTAACATCATTTTATTCTAAATTGAGACAGTCCCCGTAAGCTTTGCCAGATGCTCTATACCTTTCGTAACTTCAGAAGAAATTGGGGAAATGAAGCTGTTGAACACCTTGCATGTTAGAAGCCTGAGCAACAAATCCTGATTCAGAAATTGCCACCAACTTCAGTGGTCCCACAATTTCATCTGAAGGATTTAAGTGGGGCAAAGCACCTTGCACAGAAGTGAATTTCACTTTAATTAAGATTTGGAAAGTAAAAGTCTGTTAAGCGAATGGTGTTAATTATCTTAGAATTTATAAAAGAAGTGATGAATCTGAGCTGGTGTTTAGGGGTGATCTGCGCTGGTGCTGGGGCAAAAAATGGTTGCTGTATGTCACCTTTGTGGCCGCACAAGTAAAAGTCTTGCCACGCACAAACTTTTAAAGGCCGCGCACCCACCGGGAGAGGAGCTAGGCTGCAGCATGGGACACTTACTGAAGGTAAGCTCCTCCCCAAGGTGAGGTAGAGGCAAGGTGGGGACGGGGGCTGGAGCCTGGCATGGGCTCCGCTGGCTCCAGGGAACTGCTCCGCGTCCCTGCATCGTCTCAGGGAGTGAAGAGGCATGTGGCATCAGGGCTGGGGAGTGGAGCACTTCCCCGGAGCTGGCAGAGCCCGCGGAGCAGTTCCCCGGAGCCAGCAGAGGCTGCACCAGCCCCAGCCTCCATCCCTGCCTTGCCTCACTGAGGAAAAGCCACTGCCTGCACCAAGTGAGGCTCTGCTGGCTCCAGGGAACTGCTCCGCAGGATCCGCCGGCTCCGGGGAACTGCTCCACTCCCCAGCCCTGATGCCACATGCCTCTTCACTCCCTGAGACGATGCAGGGACGCGGAGCAGTTCCCTGGAGCCAGCGGAGCCTGCCCCAACCCCCAGCCCCCCAGGCCCTGGCCCTCCGACCCTCAGCCCCCCAGCCCTCAGGTCCCAGCCCCCACTGCCTGTCCTGGGTGAGGAATGAGCGGCTTACCTTCGGTAAGTGTCTCATGCTGCACCGAAAGGGGGCGGTGGGACCAAAATGGCACGCTCACGGACTGAAGCGGCATGCTCACGGACCACTACTTCGTAGAGGGAACACTGCTCACATCTAGTCCTATTAGAGATGAGTTCAGTCTCTCACATGTCTTAGAGCAGCTTGATCATGTCTTAGGCCAAGTTACTGTAACATATACCTACTAACTGCAAGTAATTCTGAAAGGCTGTTTCTGTGAGCTAGAAACAGAGCACAGAGTTGGCTCATTCACTCTGATTTTGCCTAGCTATCTAAATCTAGGAAGTCAAATGACCTAGAACAGGGGTGCTTACAACCTCCAGCCCACAGGCCATATATGGCCCATGGAGCCTTGGAACTGGCCCGCAAGGTTCCCCATGGGTTGGGAAATTTAGCAGAGAAGGAGCAATGGCAGTACTGCCACCTCTTCCCACCACCAAAATTCCAAGCCCTGCTGGATGGGTCTCAGGTGGGCCCTTCCCTCCAGGTTGGGGCTGGGCTGCAGCCCCTTCTCCCCACAGGGTTGGGCCTCCCCCGTAGGGCTGGGACACCACCCCTTCCTTCCACTTGGCCAGGTTGGGGCTGGGACATGCCCCCTTCTTCCCACAGGGCTGAGCCATAGCCCCTTTTCCCCTCCACCCCCACGGGACTAGGCCATGCCCCCTTCCAAGCCAGGCCAGGTTGGGGATGGACACACCCCATCCCCCCACAGGGCTGGCTCAGAGCCAGGTCACAGCCACGCATCCTCCCATGGGGCCAGATTAGAGCTGGCCCAAGCCCCCTCCCACTGCAAGGCTTGATCAGGGCCAGGCTGCCTCCTTCTGCACATCCAGATTGGGTCCTATCAAATCCAGCCTGTGGAGAGGGATTGGGCACTTCCCATCCAGCCCACCAGCAACACTGTTCTAGAACCAGCTCTAGGCCATTTAAGGATTTGTGAGACAAGAAAAAAATTGCAGAGAAAGTTGTGAGTTTTTTCTGGCTACTTCAGCCTATATCTAGCTCTATACATGTTGGGTTATTTTTTTCATTGTTATAAAACACAATAGAAATCTTTAAATAATCCAGTGTGAACATTATATAGATCAGCAGTTCCCAACCTTGGGTCGCGACCCAAATGAGGGTTGCAGGGGCAATGCCAGTGGTGCCGCACGCAAAGGACAAGCTGCACTGCGTGCTGGGAGTTCCCCCAGCCACGGGCTGCCACCACACTCTGCTCCCAGGAGTGGGCCACTGCAAAAAAAAAAGGTTAGGAACTACTGAGATAGATTGTGGACAGCATTAGGTAATAGTCTTGTAAGAATACGACCATTTCTGTTCAAATCCGTTGTAAATCCCTGACATTTATTATGTTCTTCCTATCTAACTGCAAAGTTTATTTTTCTTTCAATCTCTTAATCAGTTAAAATATTTTTCCCTTTAGATTTGCACAAAATTGTTTGCTACAGATGAATTCCAGCCCTGGGACTCAACTCAGGAATTAATATTTCCACCTAAGCTACTGGTAAGATCAAGCTTATGTAACTAGTGAAGGAAGGAGCATGTTCTTGAATAAAAGAATAAGGTTTGTGCTTTGCACTCTAAATATTTCAGAGAACTCTCTCATGTATTAGAAGACACTTATTTGCATCTCCTAACTGTAAGATTAACAAAACTGAAAACCTACATGCTGAGGAATATGACCTCAGACAGTTCCACTGTTTTATGTCTGCATATGTATCAGAAGGCAGAACCTGACCCTTCTGTTTACAGAACCCTGTTATCTTGTTTCTTTATACCTGTTCTGTTACTTTGATAAATGAATGGTTTAATACCTGGATATTTTCTCTCAGAACAAGTACTAAATCGTTATTCCTTCCTCTACAGCTAATGGCGAAAGACCAGCGAAAAATAACTCTAGTTTTCCATGGGGAAAGAACTACATGGATTTCTCCTGTTAGTATAAAAGAGCTACTAGAGCTGAAAGCCAAGTACCCAAAAGCACCTCTTGTTGTAGGAAACACCAGTGTGGGTATGTAAAATTGGATCTCCTTCCCCTACAGGAAGTGTTCATATGGATGTAGAAAATCTAAGGTTTAATTTGGTGCCCAGGACTAAAGTAAAAGTACTGAGAGGTACTGATTTTATTTCTTGAAATTATATTGACTATTAGCACTTTTACACTAACTCTTAACTTCCTTATAAAATTGGACTATCTGGTGTCAGATCAAAGGAGGGAGTAGAATTATATGTATTTTTATTGAAAAACATGACACATAAGAGATGTTGTGGGGAGGGTTATCATAAAACTATTTTTTGCAAAAAACCCCAGTCTTTGGGTAACTGTGAATTCCATTCTTGAAATGCAGGCGTTCTCTTTGTGTCATCATCAGATCCTTTTGGACAGTAGTGCTGGCTGGGGCCACAACTAAAGCTCTACAGTCATGTCGACACTAGCATGGACATTTGGTTCCCTGGGAACATGTAGCAGCAACGTCAGGGGAGCACCTATGCCATATGCGCTTTAGTGCATGGCAAGTTACCCTGGGTAGGGTAGGGGAGGCTGGGGTCAGAACTGTGCTGGCCCCAGCAACCTTACCTGAGGTCCTGGGGGCCTCCCGGGGCTGCAACAGTGGAGACTCTGCTGTACAGAGCCTGGCCAGCAGTTATAGTGTGGCTTCGGGTGGCCCAGGTCTGCTTTTGAGTGGCACACACTGCCTGTGCATGCACTGCTTTATTTTTTTTGCTGGATATACAGGGGTCAAAAAAACCTGCAGGGGAAAAAAATGCAGGGCAGCGCTCCCTTGCAGCTCAGAGAACATGTGAAAGTGTAGTATGTGGCACTGCAAACATGTTTGCGGTGCCTCATATCACAAGGCCGCACTCATCTGGACGTGGCCTACATATCCTCATCCCTTCATATCTAAGGACAAGAAACGAGGAGTCTTTCAGTTCCTCCTTACAGTCTACAGAATCTCTACAGTGTCTGTTTGCTTCTCTGTACTAGTGACCACGAGTTGATCACTTTCACTATCCATCGCAAAGCTGGCAAGTCAGTCAGCAATTACGGAAGTCCCCAACTTTAGAAAAGCTGACTTTAATAGGCTCAGGAGGCTTGTTGTCAAGGCTCTGAGAGACCATGATTTGACAGGGAGGGGAGTTCAAGAGGAGTGGTCACTCCTTAAGGAAGCAATCCAAAAGGACAAGGGAAGTCCATCCCAGCCCATAGGAAAGGTAGCAAAAGGACTCAGCAACCCCTTTGGCTCAACAGGGAGCTCATGGACCTCTTGCATCTAAAAAGAGAAGCTTATAAAGGATGGAAGACAGGAAACACCACTAAGGAGGAGTATTCTGCACTGGTCCATACCTGTAGGGAGCGAACTAGGAAAGTCACGGCTGTAACTGAACTCCATCTGGCTACACGAATCAAGGACAGTAAAAAGTCCTTCTTCAGATATGTGGGAAGTAAAAAAAAAACAAAAACAAAAACAACCAAGGGCATCATTGGACCCCTGCTAAGCCAAATGGGGCAGCTGACAACCTCCACCCAGGAAAAAGCCAACCTACTTAATGATTACTTTATATTGGTCTTTCACCAGCCCGAAGGGACCACCGTGCCTGACAAGATGTAGGATGACTAAGGTAAGAGTAAATATACACCCACCATTGGCATAGGTCTTATGAGGGAACACCTTGAGAGGCTGGACACCCACAAATCAGCTGGCTCGGATAGATTGCACCCAAGAGTGCTAAAGGAACTGGCAGACATCATAGTATGGTCACTGGCAAAGATATTCGAAAACTAATGACTTTCGGGCAAAGCACCTGAAGATTGGAAGAGGGCCAATGTGGGGCCTATCTTCAAGAAAGGGAGGAAGGAAGATCCGGGGAACTACAAGCCACTCCGTTTGACATCATTCCCTGGAAAGATCTTGCAAAAAATTATCAAAGGGAACATTATCAATAGGCTAACAGAAGGCAACATTTTGAGGGATAGCCAGCACAGGTTTGTTGCAGGCAGGTCTTGCCTGACCAATCTCATTTCCTTCTATGACCAGGTGATGTATCACCTGGACAAAGGGGAAGAGGTTGATATCATATATTTGGACTTTAAAAAAGCCTTTGACCTGGTGTCCCATTATGTCCTCATGGAAAAACTGGGGAGCTGAGGCCTCGACTATGCTACAGTCTGATGGCTGGGGAACTGGCTCCGAGGTTGGACCTAGAGAGTGGTAGATGGCAGAACCGAAACAACATGGCAGACAGTGACCAGTGGTGTCCCCCAAGGCTCCGTTCTTGGACCTGTACTCTTCAATGTCTTTATAAATGACCTGGACTCTGGTGTTAGAAGTGGACTGGCTAAGTTCACTGACAACACCAAACTATGGGGAAGAGTGCCCACACTGGAGGATAGGCTGGTGATTCAAGCCAACCTCGCTAGGCTTGCAAGGTGGATGGAGGAAAATCAGATGGCATTCAATACAAAGAAATGCAAGATGCTCCAGCTCAGGGAAAAAAACCTGCATCACACTTGAAGGCTCAGCAGTACTATACTCACTAGCACCATGGCCAAAAGAGACTTGGGGGTCATGACTGACCACAAGATTAACATGAGCCACCAATGCGATACCGCAGTTGGCAAAGCGAATAAAACTCTGGCTTGCATCTACCGATGCATCTCAAGCATGACCCAGGAAGTCATCCTCCCACTGTACTCAGCCTTGGTGAGGCCACAGCTGGAGTACTGCATCCAATTCTGGGCTCCACAATTCAGAAAGGATGTGGAGAAGCATAAGAGAGTCCAGAGGAGAGCCACGTGCATCATCACAGGGCAAGAGAGAAGGCCTTTTGAAGAGAGGCTGAGAGCCATAGGACTCTTTAGCTGGAGAAGCATAAGAGAGGCCAGAGGAGAGCCACGTGCATCATCACAGGGCAAGAGAGAAGGCCTTTTGAAGAGAGGCTGAGAGCCATAGGACTCTTTAGCCCAGAAAAGCATAGGCTCAGGGGTGACTTGGTGGCAGCCTATAAGTACATAAGGGGTGTGCATCAGGATCTGGGGGAACGCTTGTTCACCAGAGCACCCCAAGGGAAAACAAGGAGGTCACAAACTCCTGCAAGACTGTTTTAGGCTGGACATAAGGAAAAACTTCTTCGCTGTCTGAGCCATCAAGGCCTGGAATAGACTCCCCACCAGAGGTGATGCAAGCACCTACTCTGGGCACATTCAAGAAACATTTGGATGCCTATCTTGCTGGGATCCTTTGACCCTAGCTGACTTTCTGCCCCTTGGGCAGGGGGCTGGACCTGATGATCTTACGAGGTCCCTTCCAGCCCTAATGTCTCTGAAATCTATGAAATCTTAATTAGTTATTGTTACTGTCATAGGCAGTGGAAGGCAAGGGCTAATGGGGCTAAGCCCCCCCCCAAATACAGGCAGCCCGGACGGAGGGGGGGGGAAAGGGGAGGGGTGCACACAGCTGGAGCCTGCAGGCAGCTCGGAACTCAGCCTGGCCCAGCCCTGCGTGGAGTAGCACCCAGCAGGTAAATGTGTGGATGTGAAGGGACACAGGGGAGGGAAGGAGCATGGTGGGGCAGATTGAGGCCCCTGCAGGTGGAGGGGTGAATGGAGCCCTGGGGCTGGGGCGGGTCATGGAATGCATGAAGCCCAAGCAGTTCATCCATTGGAATGGGGGGCGGGGCTTCCGCCACTGTGTGCACCCCTGGGCAGACACACGAAGCATGTGCCCCCTGTATCTGTGTGGGGTGGAGGTGGCTGCCGCTGCAGACTGTGCTCTGCACCCAGCTGCCAGTGCCCTGGAAATGGCATGATGCCACATGCCTCCTGCGTGCTGGCTGCACCGCCTGCCCGGCAGTTGGAGGCACATGGCGTCACACAGCTGCCGGGGCACCAGCAGTGGGATGCAAAGCATAGCCTGCAGTAGCATCTGCCTCTGCCATGCACACAGATTGGGGGGGGATATGTGCCCCCTGTGCCTGCCCTGGGGGTACGCATGGCGGCAGGAGCCCCCCCACACCCCTGGACGAGTGGCCTGGGCTCCAAGCATCCCATGACCCACCCGTCCCAGGACCCCATTCACCCCAGCCCCAACTGCACTCCCTCCCTCACTGCAGAGGCCTTGATCTGCCCCCCTGCCCCTTCTACACGACAGACTTACCTGCTGGGCATACTCAGCCCCCACAAATCATATTTTCCTTCTCTGCCTATGGCTACTGTTAACTGTTTGTATTAGTCTTTGTGCCAGTTGGCACTAAAAATCGATAATTATTTTGTAATTATATTGTAATAATAATTAAAAGTATTTATAGTATGTTATGCATTTCATAATTATTTATAAGTAATTCTAAGTAATAATTAATTATGAAGTATTTAAAGCAAAATACTATTTTCTTTCCATAGCCAATTTCAACAGTCTGTCATAGATTCCAACATATAATGGAGAGACAAATTAATAAGGAGGTTTTCTTTTTAATTATGATAAGTGTCTACATTATGGATTTAAAGTTGCTGCTATGTAAATGATCTATTTTTGTTTCTCAAATTCTTCCAAATTCTTCTATCCTACAGGACCTGAAATGAAATGCAAAGGGGTATTTCATCCAGTTATCATCTCTCCTATTAGAGTTTTGGAACTGAACTTCCTGAATTTCACAAGTAATGGTGAGTTTGTTGTTTTCCTTTATTTTTAAAACATAAAATCAGCACTGAGTAATTTTACCTGTTGAAGACACGAAGGCACAAGACATAAAATTTTACTATTTTGCTAATATTTAAAAGAGGCCAAGAAAAAGGGCAGCCCACCTGGGATTTATCCTTGTTAGAAAATAATTTGTTTTTGTTCCTTAGGAGCAAGTGAATTTGTTTCGTTGTAGCTTGTAGGGTGCATGATTTGATTGCATCTTGTAGTCTGCAGTCTTCTGGGGGACCTTGTGTTGTGAGTAGCATAATGGGCTTTGCCTCAGTGCCCACTAGGGGCCAACATATGCCCATTCTCCTACTCAAGTTCCCCCCTATTGGGCTGCCTCCTCTCTCATCTGCCATGCCTTGATGTCAAAAGTTAATACATTTCAGAGGCTGTCTTCAAATATCCAGAGTTTGACTTTTGGTGCCTTGCTTTGCCCTCTTCATCATTAAGCTGCCAACTGGCTCATCCTCCTACCCCAACAGGAACAGGGCTCTCTCACTCCTGTCTGGAGACCTAGGTGTTCTGCTGCCTGCAATTTGCAGAGTGCATCCTGCAGTCCTTTTAACTGGGCTCCTTGCAGACTGCATTTGCTTTTCCACTCCATTTTTCCTTCAAATAACAGAGGGAAGGAATCTTTTGTTACAGTAGGATAGAGGCCCTGCAGCTGTAAGTTGAAAGATGTCTTGCCTTAAATCACAGAGGGCAGATATGTAGTTGCCTAGGCTAAACAGTACAGCAAGGTGTGAACCAGGTAAAAAAACTTAAAATACAAGGCAAAGGAGCCCAGTGATAAGAGGCCAGAGAACAGAAAACAGTGGAATATGTGGCAGGGGAGGTGCCTGATGTTTTTCTGTAAAGGATGGGACTAGAAAATGATATCTGTTCATGAGATAATAATGAATGTAACTCAAAGAATGAGGAATACAACACAGATGTCTGGATGCAGAAGCTGGAGGATGTATGTATCCTTGAGTGGACATTCAGTAGAAGTCATTTATATCTGAAGTGTCACCTTAGAGGAGAAAGGAAGCTAAAGGGATGACTTGAGATCTGCAGGTGCTTGCCAAACTGGAGGACCTAGACAAGAGACCCGTGATATAGAGACACATGGAAGCACATAACCATAAGGTCCACCCCCTCCCCCCCTCCAAAAGGATATAATGGAGACAGAAAAGGTACAGAGAAGGGCAACAAAGATGACAGGTATGGAGAGGCTCCCATACAAGGACAGATTAAATAAACTAGGACTTCTTAATATCTCTCATAATACTAAAACCATGTTAACATATTTTAACATAAAATAAAATTATGAGGTAACAAGGTTAAAACAAACAAAAAAAAGAAATCCTTTCTCAGTGCATAATTAAATTGTGGAAATCATTGCTCAAAGTGTTGACCTCTTTTGAATCAGTATTGAATCCCATCCTATTCACATTTGCCCAGCCCTGTAACCTGTCCAGGTCCAGTTGTAACCTGTCCCTCCCTTCTAGCGTGCCCCAAATCTTGGTGTCGTCAGCGAATTTGAACAGGGTGCTTTTCACCCCCTCCTCCAAGTCACTGATAAAGAAATTGAACAATGCGGGCCCGAAGACCGAGACCTGGGGGACTCCACTGCCCACCTTTCTCCAGGTCAAATATGACCCATCCACCACCACTCTCTGGGTGTGCCCCCTAGCCAATTTGCGACCCATCTGACTGTGTAGGCATCAATGCCACAGTCACCTAGCTTTTTAATGAGAATGGGGTGAGAGACAGTGTCAAAGGCCTTCCTGAAGTCTAGAAAGACTACATTCACCGTGACACCTGCATCCAGTGATTTTGTGACCTGATCATAGAAGGCAATCAGGTTGGTCTGACAGGACCTGCCCATAATGAACCCATGCTGGTTGCCCTTGAGCATCTTCCCTCTTGCTGGTCCATCCCAGATGTGCCTCTGAATAATTTTTTCAAAGAGCTTCCTCAGGACTGAAGTAAGACTAATGGGTCTGTAGTTGCCTGGGTCCTCCCTCCTCCCTTTTTTGAAAATGGGGACCACATTGGCCGCCTTCCAGTCTTCTAGCACCTGGCCAGAGCACCATGAGCGCTCGTTAAGCCGTGCTAGGGGCCCTGCAATGACACCTGCCAATTCCCTCAACACCCTGGGGTGGAGAGCATCTGGACCTGCTGATTTGAACACATCCAGCCCCTCCAGAAGTTCCGTAACTCGGTGCTCCCTGTCCCTAGGCCTGGTGGAGTCACTCCTGGTAGAGTCACAGTCCTATATCCCGGTGGGGAAGAAGTCCTGGTCCCTGCTCAGAAAAATGAAGGCAAAGAAATTGTTTAAAAGGTCTGCTTTTTCATCTGGTGCAACCACCAGATTGCCAAGCGTATCCTGCAGGGGCCCCACGTTGCCTGGTGCCTTCTTTTTGCTCCCTATGTATTTGAACAAGGACTTTTTGTTGTCCTTGATCCTTGTTGCTAGCCCTAGTTCCATCTCTGCCTTAGCCTTCCTAACAGCCTCCCTACATACTATTGCTATGGAGGTATACCCCTCTTTGGTGATAGCCCTCCCACTCCCTTCCACTGGATGTATGCCTCCGTTTTATTGCTATGGAGGTATACCCCTCTTTGGTGATAGCCCTCCCACTCCCTTCCACTGGATGTATGCCTCCGTTTT